ACCAGTGACTGAATATGGCCTTTTTCTGTGTTTTTTCAGGGCAAAAAAGTATATTACTTGAAACATTTATCTATTATTATGCCTATATTAAAGGCATTGTTACCTGCTTCTTCCTTGTTTTTTATAAAAACCCTAAATAGTTGTTGGCTATTGAAACAGCTTTATGATAGTTATTATTTATATGTTGTAAGTCTACCTGGATTCTGCACCGCTTATAAAAAGTCCACTTGAGTGATTTTATGAGCATATTACAGTAATCCATAAAACTCAGAATTTCTGCATTTTGCTTTTTCAATGAAAACCAACAAAAGACAGTTCAAATCTGCTCTTCAACTGAAGGACACAGAGTGCCGCTGGCCAGGAATCGTGCTGAGCACAGGGATGCCCCTAGGGAGTGCCAGATTGGCAGACTTGCATGCAAACTGCAGCCCAGGTGCCCACCCATGAGCTACACATACCCACAGAAGCAGCTTGGGTCTGGGCTTTGAGCTCCACTGCTATGGGGCTCGTACCACTATATAACCTTGGCTGCTTGTTCTCCGCCACCTCTACAACTTCGTGGGCATCTGACTCAGATAAATGGGACCACCCTGAGGAGTTTTTAAGTGACAATACTATCAAAGACATTTTAGAGACAAAGATCAGCTATAACGTGGCTACTTTAACATTTTTCCAATTTATTAAATATTACTTTCCAGACCTTGTCCAGAAGTATATTTTTTAATGTGGTGGCAATCTTGTATATGCCCAATTTTATATATTTTTCTCCATTCAGACAACTTTTATTCTACACATTTGAGAATCTTAATAATAAAAAGCAGGGAAAAATAGAAACTTTTGTATTGTCTGCACATTCCAGGTAGTTGGGTTTTCTGTGTGTTTGTCTCTGCCTGCTCCCCACTTCCCACTTTCTCCTTAGATTAGCAGTCAACTCTTTCTCCTTGGCATGTGCCCATGACTTTCTTCACATACCTGACTAGACTAACCATGTGTATGTATAGGTAGATTTTTTTTTTTGAGACAGGATCTCACTATGTAGTTCAGGCTGGCCTTGAATTCACTATGTAGCCCAGGCAGGCCTCAAACTTGAAGCAGTCCTCCTGCCTCTGCCTCATGAGTGCTAGGACTATAGGTGTGTGCCACCATGCCTGGCTTATATGCAGATTTTAAACCCTTCTACCATATTGCCATCTTAAACTCTTCCAAACCCCTCATATAAAGATGACTGTTGCTCACTGGTCATTTTCATGCTATTATTGTTGGCTTCCCTAGTGCTGTTTTTCCCAACCATTGTTCCCCTCAAGATTCCTGACTGCCTTCTACCCTCATGGCACAGCTTTCTTTGATATCTTTCTTTGTCCTGCCTTCCTACCTTTCTGCTTACCCAACACAAAGCCTAGATATATTTCACAGAGAAGACAAATTATCTGAGCATACTTTATTGCACTCAGACCTTTTCACATCCAAAGCCTTTTTACACCTTCCTCCAGTAGCCATACTGCATCTTTGTCTATATTCACAATTTTGTGCTCTGTATATACTTATTTTCTACAGTATCATCTCCCCACCTTCATTTTACTTAAATCGTTAATTTTTTTTTCTCCCATACCTTTCTATCTTTTGTGAGTCATCTTTCTCCTTTTGATTTGTTTTCCAGTACTGGGGATTAAACCCAGGGCCTTGCACATGCTAGTCAAGTGTTCTACCACTGGGCTACACACCTAGCCCTTTACTTTGACACAGTCTTGTGAAGTTCCCCAGGCTGGCCTTGAACTCATGATCTTCCTACTTCAGCCTCCCCAGTTGCTAGGATTAACAGATGTGTGCTACTGTTCCTGGCTCTCTTTGACTTTTTAACTCTCTGGTAATTCTGCTTTCTCACCTTTTCCGAAAGCTCACATTCTGATAATGAATATGTGGTGTTCAGTTTTGTATTTCTGAAAAAATAAACTACTTTACAAAAACAGTGTAATATAAACTGTTAGCATTGAAATAACCCTAACTCCTGAGTAGATAAGGCCTCTAATGAAAGCTTCAAATACAGATTCTTTTGGTACTACTATTGAATGGAATTGCAGTCTTGCTTGAGCCTCACAAAATACCACCATTTTGAAATGAGAATAGATCTTTGATTTTCCCATCTATTTTGATTGATCCAAGAAATAAAACTACCACCTCAAGGAACATAATTTCCACGTGTTGGGGACTGTGTTGAGCATTCATTCTTCAGGATAATTATAGACTTGAAAATGTTTAGTACTTGCAGGCTGCCTCACAATAACTACAGGCGCAAGAGGGGCAGTCTTTTCCAAAGAGCTGGCAAGATGGCAGAAGTCGAGCAGCAGAAGAAGCGAACCTTCTGCGTGTTTACCTACCGAGGTGTGGACCCTGACCAGCTGCTGTACACATCCTAGGAACAGCTGATGCAACTCTACAGCATGCGGCATCCGAGGCTGCTGAATTCCTACAGCACTCACAGCTGAAGCACATGCACAAGGCCAAGAAGGTGGCGCCACCCATGAAGAGGCTAGAGGCGGTGAAGACACACCTTTAGGACCTGATCATCCTGCCAGAGATGGTGGGCAGCATGGTGGACGTCTACAATGGCAGGACCTTCAGCCAGGTGGAGATTAAGCCTGACATGATCAGCCACTACCTGGGCAAGCTCTCCATCACTTTCAAGCCTGTGAAGCATGGCTGGCCTGGCATCTGGGGCACCTGCTCTTCAGGCTTCATTCCCTCAAGTAGCTACCCGGCTAATAAAGCACCACTGTCTCCCCACAAAAGAAAATATTTAGTCACCTGGTCCATGCCGAAGTCTCTGTCAGTAACAGGAGAAACTCATTATCTGTAAGGCAATGTGTGATAGTTAACTGATTGTGTCAGCTTGAGTAAGAAATCCCCAACTAAATTAATTGGGTCAGCATAGTTCTGGGTGTGGCTGAAGAGATTTACTGAAGACAGAATACCCACCCTGGGTGTGAGTGACTGCAACCAATAGGCTTGCTGCCTGAATGGAATAAAAGGGAAACAAAAAAGGAAGGCTCACTTCTGTTTCTTCGGAGGAGCCCAGTCTTCACTTTGACCTTGCACATTATGTCTTTTTTTTTTTTTTTTTTTTTTGGGTACTGGGGATCGAACTCAGGACCTTGTGCTTGCGAGGCAGGCGGGGGAACCACTGAGCTAAATACCTAGCCCTGGACATTTATCTCTTGACTTCCAGTCCAGACTCTTCAGCCTTCTGGCACAGACCTTTTAGCTTTCCATTGCAGACCCTTTGGCCTCCTGATACGAACTCACACAGAACACTAGAGTGGCCCCAGGAAAAGAGGACTTACACGATCAAGCTGATAGAATGACTCATTCTGTAGATAGCAGTCAACCTCTTTAGCCACCCCATCATTGCCCATTGGGATCATGGACAGAGTGGCCAGGGTGGCAGAAATAGAGGCTGTGCATGAACCTCAGCAACACAGACTCCCACTCACCAATGCTGATCTGGCTACAGCTACTGCATAATGCCAAATATCCCAGCAGCAGAGACCTATGCTGAGTCCCTGATATGGCACCACTCCCTGGGATAATCAGCCTGTGACCTGGTGTCAAGTTGATTATATTGGACTGCTTCCACCATGGAAAGGATAAGATTTTGTCCTTACTGGCATAGACATTTATTCTGGGTATGGATTTGCCTGCCCTGCATGTAATGCTTCTGTCAAAACTACCATCTGTGGACTTAAAGCAAGCTTTATCCACATTTATGGAATTCCATACAGCATTGCCTCTGACCAAGGAACACATTTTACAGCCAAAGAAGTGAGGCAATGAGCTCATGCTCATGGAATTCACTGGTCTTACCATGTTCCTCACCATCCAGAAGCAGCTGGATTGATAGAAAGGTGGAATGGTTTTTTGAAGACACAATTACAGTGTCAGCCAGGTAGCAATAGCTTGCAGGGCTGGGGCAAGGTTCTTCAAAAGGCTGTATATGCTTTGAATAAGCATCCACTATATGGTACTATGTGTCCCATAGCTAGGATTCACAGGTCTAGGAATCAAGGGGTGGAAGTGGGAATGGTACCACTCACCATTACCCCTAGTGATCCACTAACAAAATTTTTGCCTCCTGTTCCTGTGAGCTTATGCTCTGCTGGCTTAGAAGTCTTAGTACCAGAGGAGGGAAGGCTTGTACCATGAAGCATAACTATGATACCGCTGAACTGGAAGCTAAGACTTCCCCCTGGTCATTTTGGTCTCTTCATGCCTCTGAGGAAGCAAGCTAAAGAGGGAGTTACAGTGTTGACAAGGGCGACTGACACAGACTATCAAGGGGGAAATTGGACTATTACTCCACAGTGGAGGAAAGGAAGAATATACTTGGGAGTGCAGGAGATCCCTTAGGGTACCTCCTAATGTTACCATGCCCTGGTACTAAAATCAGTGGGAAACTACAACAGCCCAATCCAGGCAGGATAGCAAATGGTCCGGAACTTTCAGGAATGAAATTCTAAGTGACCCCACCAGGGAAAGAACCAAGACTTGCTGAGGTGTTTGCTGAAGGCCAAGGGAATACAAAATGGGTATTAAAAGAAAGTAGTTCTAAATACCAGCTGTAACCCTGAGATCAGTTACAGAAATGGGATTATAATTGTAATAGTTCTCTTCTAATATGCTTCCTGTGTAATATGTTGATAGACTTAATATTGGTTTTTAAGTATTGTTAAGCCTGTGTTACAGTGTTCAAGTTATGAAATGTTAGGAATAAGCATCATCCAAAGAAAACTATTCTGGGAGGGAATTCGTGTGTTTCTGTTTGTATGCAAGATATTTATAACATGTTAGACATAATTATGAATTTGTTTTTGTATCTGGAGAATATGGTTTAAGGAAATGTATCTGGTTGTCAAGTTGACAAGGGGTGGATTGTGCTAGTTAACTGATTGTGTCAACTTGAGTAAGAAACACCCTACTAAATTGGATCAGTATAGTTCTGCTTGCGGCTGAAGGGATTTACTGAAAACAGAAGACCTATTGTGGCTGTGAGTGGCAGCAACCAGTAGGCTTGCTGCCTGAATCAAATAAAAGGAAAACGAAGAAGGAAGGCTTGCTTCTGTTTTTTTCAGAGGAGTTCTAGTCTTCACCTTCACCTTGGATGTCATCTCCAGCCTTCCTGCGTAGACCCTTTGGCCTTCTGATACAAACTCACACGGGACACTAGTGAGCTCCAGGCCTTCAAGTGGATCGTTTGGATCTCTAACCCACAGACAGCCCTTTTGCACTTTTCCACACCTGCCTTTGTGGCTGGCCATTGTAAGCCAATCTTGTAAGTTCTTATACACTGTATTTGTATATCTTGCATTAAATCTGTCTCTGTAGCCCTGACTAATACACAATACAATCCATTTTATACTGCTATTGATTGTTTTAAAGTTTATGCTTGTATTGGGGTAAAATGTAGTGGTTATAATTATACTTAGTGGCTTCAATTCTGCCCTCAAGCTACACAGACTTTGACTCCCTTTTCTCCATGATAGCCTTTTAGATATTTTTATATATACTATCCTCTCTACCTTTCCCCTCACAAATTTTTCTCCCTTTGGGATAAACATCCTCACCTCTTCCAGATCTTCCTGTGATATCATTTTCATTATCCTGATTGCCAAGGACATTAAATTTTGTTAATGTCCCTTCTGAAATGTCTTTGGAACTGGAAATAATACTCTGAATTGGATCTGGATGTTGCACATCTCATCACTAATGTAGCCTATATTTTTTCTGTCTTTTTGGGGTGTGTATGTGTGTGTTTTTGTTTTTGTTTTTTGGGGGTTTTTTTTTGAGACAGAGTCTTGCTTTGTAGTTCAGGCTGGGGCTGAACTCAGTATGTAGCTCAAGCTGGCCTTGAACTTGCAGCAATCCTCCTGCCTCAGCCTCCCTAGTGCTGGGATTACAGGCCTGTGCTACCGCACCCAGCTGTTTCTTTTTTTTCCAGCTGTTTATTTTTAAGACAGGGTCTCACCATGTAGTTCAGGCTGGCCTTGAACTTGCTGTGTAGCCCAGGATGGCTTTGAACTCAGCCTCTTAAATGCTGGGACTATAGGCGTGTACCACCATGCCCCAACAGTTGCTAGAAGGTTGTGTTTTTGTTGTTTTTTTAACAGCAATGTAATGTTGGCTCATAATTAATTTATAATTAACTAAAATCCCAGGGTTTTTAATTTGGAGATTTGCCTTCACATCATGACTTTATTCCAAACCAAGTCTTTTAGTTCCTTAGTAACAGTATAAAAAACCGTAATAGCTGGGTGAGGTGGTCCATGCCTGTAATCCTACTCAGGAGACTGAGGCAGGAGGATCCCCAAGAGTTTGAGGCCAGCCAGAACTACATAGCAAAACCCTGCTCAAAAAAACCAAAAAAAAATTTTTTTTTTAAATTTTATCTCACTAGCTTGTAAGCCAGCCTTGGTTTCTTTGAATCTTGGTTATTTTCCAGCTCATTATACCAGTTAAACAAAGAGCTTTAAGTTAATGTCAGAATGTTTTTAGATATCTGGGAAATGATAATCAAAAGTCATGGAGAGTATATTCTAAAAATTTTTGAATTCATATATTACTCAGCTCTTGAGGTATTTATATGAATTATTACCACTAAATTGACAAAGCCAAGAAAGTCTGAAGTTCATTGCCAGCTTACAAGAGAGAAGCCTTGTGTTGAATATTACTCAAAGAGAGACGATGTTCTATAGACATTCTGCTAACATAATGTTGAAAGATCTGGATAGTTCTTCAAGAAATCAATGCCCGTATGGAACAGAGACAAAGTCACAGTGCTCATTTTTTAAAATATATTTTTATTTTTAATTGAAATATAATAATTTTACATATTTATAGGGTACAGTGTGATATTTCACTACATGTATACAATGCATTATAACAGATCAAAATAACTGGCATGTCTTTTACCTCAGACATTTGTTTTTCACATAAGGAACATTCAAAATCCAAATTGTACATCTTTGCTGATTGACCATCCTCTCACCACCACTTCCCAACACACACCTCTTTCCCAGGCTCTGATGACCACTGTTTTGTGCTCTGCTTAAGAGATCAACATTTTAGCTTCTACCTGTAAGTGAGAAAATGTGGTATTTGCCTTTTTCTCCCTGACTTATTTCACTTTACGTAATGTCCTCCATTTCCATCTATGTTGCTACAAATGACAGAATTTCTTTTTATGTCTGAGAAATATTTCATTTTGTATATATAACACATTTTCTTTATTCCTTACTCCAGCGATGGATAGGTTGATTCCATATCTTGGCTGTTGTGAACAGTGCTCTAATACAATGTGAAAATGTAGATGTCTCTTCAACATACTGACTTCATTCAGTTCCTTTGGAGATATACTTAGTAAGATTGTTAGATCCTATTCCCAGTTTTTTGAGGTGCCTCCATACTGTTTTCCATAATGGCTGTACTTGTTTACAATGAGAGTTCCCCTGTTGGTTTTTGTCTTATATAATAGCAATAAAATAGCTATCCTTGGGGCTGGGGATTTAGCTCAGTGGTTCCGCTGCCTGCCTCCTGCAAGCACAAGGACCTGAGTTTGATCCCTGTTACCAAAACAAAACAAAACAAAAAAAACTGTCCTAACAGGTGTGAGGTGATATCTTATTGTAGTTTTGATTTGTATTCTCTGATGATTAGTGGTGTTGAACATTTTTTGATATGTTTATTGGCTATTTGGGTATCCTCTTTTGAGCAATATCTATTCAAGTGATTTACATATTTTTAAATTGGAGAGTGTGTGTGGTGATGGTAGCATTCTTTTACATTTGCACGGTATTGGACAGTGTGGGAGATTCTGGAGAATCAGGCTTACCTCACAGGTACGGTGACCACACAGTCTGGTTTGCCTGGGACAACCCTGACTTATGCCTATTGTTCCTGTGTATTCATTTTATTCATTATTTTTTGCTTTCAAAAGCATCTAGGTTTAGAGGATAGATTATCTTACCACCCTTTTCAATCCAACTGGCTCCTTTTAGTATTTTATCTGGGTTAAATATTACATAGCTGTAATTTGTCAGCTCTAATTAAGCTGCCAAATTCTCTTCCATTTGAACAGATTGTTCCTTGACCAAGGAAAAAGTAACTGCAATTAAGGTCAACAAATACTTTGGGTTTTCTTCAGTCACCCTGTAGAGGGCAATATTTATTTATATTTATTTATATTTATAAATATATATATATATATATGATCCACTTCTATAAAAAAATGAACTCTTGTTTATCCAGGAAAATCAGAAGCATTTTATTCTCTTAACTTGTAGGAACATGAACAAATATTTAAAATTATTGCATTAACATTCTGAACATTTATTTTTTTTAATTGTGAAAACTGAACTCTGCCTTGAATATACAGTGATCCATTATAATATGCATAGACTTAAACAATCTGCATATTTTATGCTGCTTTCAGTTTTTTCTAATGATGATTTACATGTTTAATTGTAATGTATTATGCATCACAGTTTCCATATTCATATAAAATAAATGCTTAAAATAAATAGTTTTCTTCTACTTGTTTAAATACTACTTTCCACAAAAAGAGAAAACAAAGAGCTGGGGGTGTAGCTCAGTGGTAGAGTGCTTACTGTCTTCTATGTGTGAAGCCCTGGGTTCAATCTCCAGCACCATGAGAGACTGGCAGATAAAATAAAAATGTGAGATTTTATTGTATGACTTGAATGGTGTGATAACGTAGAATTGCAGTATTTAGAATTTGAATGTTTTAGTGATTGTGTAGTTTTATGTCACCAGTGGATAATTTTTAGCTCCTAATATCAAACATATATTGCTATGTTTCTCATTTTGGATTTCCTAATGTAATGTTCTCTTTTTAGAAAAAGTGGATGAGTCCTGTTTTCAAGAGAAGATGACTTTTAACAGTTTTGAAGAAACCAAGACTTGTGTACCTGCAGGCATCAATAAGGATGAAGAATTTGTAGAAGAGTTCAATAGATTAAAAACTTTTGCTAATTTTCCAAGTACTAGTCCTGTTTCAGCATCAACACTGGCCCGAGCGGGTTTTCTTTACACTGGTGAAGGAGATACTGTGTGGTGCTTTAGTTGTCATGCAGCAGTAGATAGATGGCAATATGGAGACTCAGCAGTTGGGAGACACAGAAAAGTATCTCCAAATTGCAGATTTATCAATGGGTTTTATTTTGAAAATAGTGCTGCGCAACCTACAAATCCTAGTGCCCAAAATGGTCAGTACAATGCTGAAAACTACCTGGGAAACAGAAATCATTTTGCTTTAGACAGACCACCCGAGACTCATGCAGACTACCTTTTGAGAACTGGACAGGTTGTAGATATATCAGACACTATATACCCAAGGAATCCTGCCATGTGTAGTGAAGAAGCTAGATTGAAGTCATTTCACAACTGGCCAGACTATGCTCACCTAACTCCCAGAGAGTTAGCTAGTGCTGGACTCTACTACACAGGTATTGATGATCAAGTGCAGTGCTTCTGTTGTGGTGGAAAACTGAAAAATTGGGAACCTTGTGATCGTGCCTGGTCAGAACACAGGCGACACTTTCCAAACTGCTTCTTTGTTCTGGGGCGGAAAATTAATGTTCAAGGTGAATCTGATGTTGTGAGTTCTGATAGGAATTTCCCACATTCAACAATTCCTCCAAGAAATCCAGCCATGGCAGAGTATGAAGCCCGGATCATTACTTTTGGGACATGGACATACTCAGTTAATAAGGAGCAGCTTGCAAGAGCTGGATTTTATGCTTTAGGTAAACAAACTTTACAACTATCCCAGGGATCCTAAACAGTAAAATAGATGACTTTAACCCCCTGAATTGGTAAATATTTAGGTATAAATTGGCATGATTTATATCACTTTTATTTTCTAAACTTATGTAATTATGGAATTTATGTAAAAAAGACTGCCATATTATGAGTCATGTTTATATGTAATTGTTTTAGGAGAGGGATGATAGAAATGGGTCTAATAGTAATACTAGCTATCATTTATTAAGCATCTGATATATGTGCTTAGGATATATACATGCATTTCCTCTAAAGCCTCATAACAACTCTCTAAAATGAGTTAATATTAAAGAGTTTGGCACATGCTAAAATTAACATCGGCCTTTAATATATAGAGGATATATTTGAAAGCTGCCTAGTATTATGCTTATTGCTACAAATGAATGTTTTTGTTTTGTTGTTTTTTGTTGTTGTTGTTTTACAGTACCAAGGATCAAACTCAGGACCTTGCGCTTGCAAGGAAGGCACAGCACCACTGAGCTAAATCCGTGGCCCACAAATGAGTGTTTTTGAAATGAATGTTATAGGTGTGACAGGAAGGGCAATTAATGTGATGGCTTCCAGGAATATTTTAAGAAGTATTATATACCTGATCCATTTATTTTAGAATTAAATAATGCTAAAATGCAAAATATCTATTTCAAAATTTTTATTTATATAGCATCATATAGTAATCTTAAAGTTTCTTTAGTATCATTAAGCTACAACCTTAGAGCAATTTATCTTGTAACTTCATTATGCTGAAATTTATTGTTATTGATACTTGGAATATAACTTGTTTTAAAGTTCATAGTTTGATAAAGTAAATGAAATATTGGTGGCCCAAATGATAAAAATTAAAAAGAATGTAACAATTGTACTTCTTAACATAAAAATCGGTCATTTTCATTTTTCTTTGTCTTCTATAAAATACCCCAGATTGGGTCAGTGAATTTAGTGTGCATTTTCTCCTCAAATAATAAAGATTATACATTTATATATAATATATATCTTAGATGAGGATATGAATGTCTTGAGCTATATGATTTTTATGTAAGTTAGATGTGCTTAGTTTTTAGATGCTAGAATGTGTATTTTTGTCTAAGTGTCTAGTTGCACAAATATATATATTACTTGTATATTTTCTTAGGTGAAGGTGATAAAGTAGAGTGCTTTCACTGTGGAGGAGGACTAACCGATTGGAAGCCCAGTGAAGACCCTTGGGAACAACATGCTAAGTGGTATCCAGGGTAAGATGTTTAATTGTTCATTGAGTAACAGGCAAGTTGAACAGTGTGCAGTGGGAGGATTTGAATTACTTTTCACCTTAACTTATTTTTGCCTTCACTGTGGCTTGAAATTCACACCAGGTTTATAAAAATGGGGTCACCTAGTTTATAGGGGGGAAAAACACCTAAGCCTTCTTTGGTGCCCTCATTGCTTGTATATCATATCTATGACATTCAGATAATTTCATTCCTAAACACTAAATTAGAAAATGTGTACTTATTTGTTGAAAGTAGGCTCTTTCATGATGGACTTGAGAAAGCCTATGTTGCCAAAGAGAGTCCTGAAAAAGCCATCATACACCCGGGGAAATTCTAATGGATCTCAGTGATTCTAAAACACAGAGTTGTTTACATTTTAAGATCGCTGAAATCAGGACACATCTGGTATCAGATCATTCTTTAATTGGCAGCAGTTTTAGGTAGTACACAAAATAAACCTGCTTCTTCTTAGAATCAGTGACGTCCTAGGATGATAACATATTCTAAATGTCTCTTTGCATCCTGTCTTTTATAAACAAAGTGCCCAGGTATATAAAACTCCACGGAACTCATTTGGAAAGACATCTTAGCCTTAAATAACCTTAAAAAGAAAGATTGAAAATGAAAAGTTTAAATGTATAATTGATTAATCATCTAAAAAAATAAAGCCTGGTAAGAAGATTAGCCACTTTAAACTTTTGAAAAAATGTCAAGGTACTAATTTAATAACTTGCTCAAAAGTAAAAAGTTTTCAAGTTGATATTTTTTTGCTCTACTGACATAGCGTAACAGTAGGAACATTTTTTTAACCTTAAAATGATGATTGGATAGGAAATTGATAATGTTCTTTGTGGCTCCTTAGAAACAATGAAAAACAAGTGAATGGAATAAATATGGAGATAATATCTTTACTAATTTTTTATTAATTTATCAGCTGCCAAAAGTTTAATCTTTTATTATTTAGGTGTAAATACCTGTTGGAAGAGAAGGGACAAGAATATATAAACAATATTCATTTAACCTGTTCACTTGAAGAGTCTCTGGTAAGTCTCATATTATGTAATACATTTTTCAAATATTATGTCATTTGTTTTATAATTATTTTTTTCATGTAAAATTCACAGTACAGTATTGTGAATTAATAATGTATGGTGAGCTTTAAAGAAGAGAACTTAGAGAGAACTTCTTATTCTTTTTCCAGGCACGTCCCGTACTTCATTTAGAACTTCTTATTCTTAACCTGAAGCAAATTTGTGAATAGGGGATTAGGATGAACTAATTTAAGTATCATTGTTGGCAAAAATGAGGTTCAAGGACTAAAACACTGAAATCCCTTACCCTCCTGAAATTAGACCTCTGTATGATGTATTTTGCACTCATCAGTTAACCTTTGTGCAGATAATATATAATATCTGAAAATGTGTCTAAATTGATAAGAGGAACTCGGGTGGCCAAAGCATTGGTAATATGTTAAAAAAAAAAACAGTCTGGAATAGAATGGGAGACTGGAGTTACCAGAATGGCTCTACCATTAATTGTATTTGCCTCCATGAAGTTGTTTAATTTTCTTGGGCCTCAGCTTATTGTTTCTATAGTGAAGGGATTGGATTAGATGATCTTTTAACTTCCTTTTGTTCCATCAGGCTGTGGCTCTTGTGAATGTTCATATTTTGAATTGGAATACAGCCAATTTATTTTAAATTTATGATTAATGTAACTTTTTAAATTGCCTTCTACCAAAAAGAATTCTTATTTACAATCCACATTCTATTTTAGGTAAGAAGTGCTGAAAAAACACCATCACTGGCTAAAAGAATTGGTAAATATGCTTATTAAAATAAATATGGTTTTCTTGTAATAGCTAAATCTTGGAAACAGCCCAAATGCCCATCAACTGGTGACTGGATAAAGAAGATGTGGTTTTTAGAAAATATAAAATGGAGTACTATTCAGCCATAAAAATGATAAACTAGAGATATTTATAGCTAAATAGGTGCACATAGAGGCCATACTCTTAAGTGAAATAAATAGGACACACATGTGTAAATACCGAATAGTTTCTCTAGTGTGAGAAACTGAAAGTGCAAATGAGGACCAAAATGTATAATAGATAATGTAAAATAGGAAGAAAAGGTCCAAAGGGGATGGGGAAGTGAAGGAAGGGGTAGGGGAAAGGAAAAAATATGAGAAAAGAAGGAAAAAACAGAAACAAAGTTTTTTTTAAATAGGGAGGGGTGGAGGGGTGGAAAGGAGAGAAGGGGAATGGGGAAAAAACAAGAATCAAGATATACCATGTACAGGGTTGGGGATTTAGCTCAGTGGCACCATGCCTGCCTCACAAACAAGAGGTCCCAAGTTTGATCCCCGGTACCAGAAAAAAAAATGATATACCATGTACAGGTACCAGTTCCCAATGATGGATATGATCATAATGTATTCCTAAAATGTACCAATAAACAATGATTCAAAACAAAAAAACAGTCATGTAAATTTTTATACCTTAAAAATAAAAGACTACTTATTTTTAGCCGTCAGCACTGGGGATAGTAGCTTATCCCCCAAAATAGAGGGGAAGTTGAGAAGAAAAAAATCTCTACTTAAAAATCTGACTAAGCAATGTCCGAGATGTAATATGTATATGTACTAGTTCTGCACAATGAATGTATTTATTGTGTATTACAAACATGTACTAATAGAAAAGGGACAAAATGTGAAAAAAATAAATAAATATGCTTTTAATATTGCTCCAAGTTTATCAGAGTTATCTATTTGTAGGGTTAAAAGATAAACATATACTTTCAAAGTCACTATAGTATGTTTATTAGGATGAGATTGCTATACATTTAAAAATTTAATGTTATGAATATGTCGGATATTTCTGAGTATTAAGAATGTTAGTACAAGCTGGGTGTGGTGGTGCATACCTGTAACCCCAGCTAATCAGGAGGGTGAGGTGGGAGGATGGCTTGAGCTCAGGAATTTGAGACCAGTCTAGGCAACAGAATGAGACTCTGTCTCTAAAAAATGAAAATAATTTTTTCAAAAAGGTGGCACATCCCTGCAATCCCAGATACTTAGGGGGCTGAGGCTGGAGAATCACAGTTTGAGGCCAATTGGAGCAACGTAGAGAGTCTTTGTCTCAAAAAATAGTAAAGGGGCTGGAGATGTAGCTCAGTGGTGGTGCATTTGATGAGCATGGGCAAGGCCTTGGGTTTCATCACCAGCACTGGAAGACGAAAGAAAACCAGAAAATGGGTAGAGAACAGTATTGTTAAGCAAAGAAAATATTATTATCCCCACTTTTCAGATGAAGAAACAGAGAGGTTATATGATCTACCCAGTCATTTTAAAAATCATTAGTGGGACTGGAACTGTAAATAGGTCTTCTGAATCCTATATCACACACAGATCTCATTTTCATTTTAGGCAGCATGTTTCAAAAATAGAAAGTTTAATTTAGAATATGTCTGGTGATTCCCCACTCTATGCTTGTAGCATCATCTGTTTAGTATCTTAAGGATTGCAAGGCAAGAGAACACTATGTATAGTCATAAATATGCTTGAGATGGATAGCTACATTGATATTATTTGGTATGAGTTTTATAATAAGCATAAACAAAACAGTTTAAGAAATCACTTAGTGTAGCTATATTTTTTAAGTGACTTAGGAAGAGTCTGTAACATTTCTCCATAATATTTTTTGGTATTTAATCATCCTTACAGTCATACTATTTTTCTTATGGCTGATGAGACAGTTGATCTGGGTTAGGATTGATGTTTTTACATTGAAATATAATTTATATGCTATTTCACCTTTATGAAGTATACAACCCAGTGCTTTTTTGTGTATTTACCATCACTCAAATTGTACAATATTATTAACACCCTAGAAAGAAACCTCATACCTACCCATCAGCAATTACTCCCATTCTTCTACCATCGGGCTCAGATAACTGCTAATCTACTTTCTGTCTCTGTTGTTTTACCTGTTCTGGACCTTTAATATAAGTGGAATCATAGGGGGCCTGAGTGGTGTGGGGATTGGATTTTTTAAAAAGTGGAATCATACAATATGTAGCTTTAAGTTTCATCTGTGTTGTAGCATATATGGGTACTTCACGACCTTTTTTTTTGAGATAGGGTCTTGCCATATTGTCCAGTCTCACCTTGAACTCATGATCTTCCTGTCTCAGCCTGTACAGTAGCTAGAATTATTGGCATGCACTACCATGCCCAGCTTCTTTGTTCTTTTTTATGGTGAAAAATATCCCATAGTATGGATAATACCATATTTTGATTTCTAAGTTGATGAACATTTGTTTTTTTTTCCTTCTACTTTTTGGCTATTGTGAATGATACTGCTATGAACTATTTTGTACAAGTTTTTTTTTCCAGATATGGTTGTTTCTTGTATTGTTTTGTTTTGTTTGTACCAGGGATCGAACTCAGGACCTTGTACTTGGAAGGCAGGTGCGGTGCCACTGAGCTAAATCCCCAGCTCACCAGATATATTTTTAATTCTCTTGGGAATATATATCTAGGGATGGAATTGTTGGGTCATGTGATACCTATTTTTAACCATTTGATGAACTGTCAGATCTCCAAAGTGACTACACCATTGGACATTCCTTTTAGCAGTGTTTCTCTACATCCTTTATAATACTTGTTATTCCCTATCCTCTTTTTCTTTTTCTTTTTTTTTTTTTTAGACAGACTCGCTATGTAGTTGAGGTTGGCTTCAAACTCACTGTCCTGCCTCAGACTCCAGAGTGCTGGAATTTAGGCATGGGCCACCAAGCCTGGCTTCAGCCCCTTATTTTTCATTTGGATTATTGTAATAGTATGTATCCTAACTGGCTTTTTGTCTTCATTATAACCTCCTAATAGTTTTTTTCTTTATCAAATACAAATCTTAAAAGTTACCTACCATATAATGTTCCTAATAATCACGTCCCTATGTGTATCCCTCTTTCCTGCCTCCTCTCTTTTAAAAAAACATTTTATGGGCTGGGGATGCGGATCAAACTTGTGATTCTCCTTCCTCACCCTCCTGAGTAGCTGGGATTATAGGTCTGCATCACCATGCTATTTTTGTTACTATGGCTGTGTAGCATATTTTCAAATCAGCTATTGTGCATTGCTTTTTATGCTCAGAATTGTTTTGGCTCAGAATTGGTCTTTTATATGAATTTTAGACTTTTTTTTTTTGCAGTACTAGGGATTGAACCCAAGGCCTTTGCACTGAGCTAAATACCCAACCCTTTTTATTTTTTATTTTGAGACAGGGTCTCACTAAGTTTCCCAGGCAGAGTTTGAACTTGTGATCTCCTGCCTCAGCCTCCCAGAGTGCTGGGACTGCTGGCCTATACCATCATACCCAGCCCTATCAGTCAGGCTCTAATCTTGAATAATCCATAATGCTACAAAATATATACTCACAGCATTTATAATGAATTATAAGATTCTGAAAATTCAAAAAATTCTCTCCTCTAAAGCAATTCTTCCTCCCACCCTTTCCTTTGGTTTACTGGCTTTTTGGTTGTTTTTTTAAAGCTATTTTATTGTTGGGTTGTGCTAATGAAAATATTTGTTTAAACTCTTGTGTTCTTTTTCCTCCCAATTTTCATTTCAGATGATACAGTCTTCCAGAATCCCATGGTACAAGAAGCTATACGAATGGGATTTAGTTTGAGGGATATTAAAAAATTAATGGAGGAAAAATTTCAGACATCTGGGAGCAACTATGTATCACTTGAGGTTCTAGTTGCAGATCTAGTGAGTGCTCAGAAAGATAATACACAAGATGAATCAAGTCAGACTTCATTGCAGAAAGGTATGCATGGCTGTTTTTCAAAAGCAAGAAAAATAAGAGCACTTTGTTATGAATAATATCTTATATCACTCTGTGGCCCCATTCATTTCTGTCCTCTCACATCCCCCTTAGGATAAACATTTTAAAAGTTTTTATTATGAGAAATTTCAAAAACATATAGCATTGTAGAGAAGTGTAACCAAACCTCATGTACCCATCAGTAAGTTTCAATAATTATCAGTACTTTGGGAGGCTGAGGCAGTGAGATCCTAAGTTTGAGGCCAGCCTGAGCAACATAGCAAGACCTCATCTCAAAAAAAATAAGTATTAATACTTCTCCAATCTTGCTTCATATATTCCCCCAACTTCTTTTGTTGGAATAGTACTTCAATGCAAATATTAGACATCTTATATATAGCCAATAGCTAAGTGCATTTTAAAAATGTAACTTTAATGTGTGTTAGTCTGTCTGCTCAAGCTGCTATATCAAAATACCATGGGGTGGGGCAGGGAAGGGGAAGTAGAAAAAAAAAAGAAGCAGTAATATATACATGTAACCACTCCTAAAATGATTATGAACTCCAAACATGTGCTAATTTTAAAAATCATTTAAAAAAATACCGCTGACTGTGTACTTAAATAACAAACGTATTTTTCTCATACTTCTGGAGATTTGGAAGGCCAAAATCAAGGTGCCCATTTCCCAAGGAGGGCCCTGTAGGTGGCTGGCTTCCATCCTCATGGCAGTGGGGGGAAGGGTTTGGTACATAAGCACTCTGGTACATAAGTATTTTTTAAGAAGGACACTAATCCCATCAGGGAGCTTTCACCCTTATGACCTCATCTAAACCTATTTAAAGTATTGTTGCCTAATAATAGGAATACATTCTGAGAAATACATTGTTAGGCAATTTGCTATTGTGTGAACATCATGATGTGTATTTACACAAACCTACATGGCATAGATCAGTCACTTGAAGTGGCCACTGGATATAATCAAGAGACTTGGTAAACACGAAATGTACGATATGAGGCTGCTGCTATCATGACATAGCATACTATTTTGTGGTAGATGTATTTTTTCTAAGTAGAAGGTATACAATCTAAAATAATAATAAATAAAATAAATGAGAAAGACTATAGTGTAATAAGTATATAAACCAGTAACGTAATCATTTATTATCAAGTATTATGTACTGTACGTAATTGTGTATGCTAAACTTTCATATGGCTGACAGCACAGTTGCATCACCACAAACACATGAGTAATGTATTGTGCTACAGCATTGGGATAGCTGAGATGTCACTAGGTGATAGAAGTTTCTAGGCCACATTATAATCTTATGGCACCACCAAGATATGTGGTCCCCTCCTTGATAGAAACATTTGGCAACGCATGGCTGTACTTCCCAAAAACTCCACTTCCAAATGCCATTACATGGAAGGTTAGGACTGCAGCATATGAATGTTGGGGTACACAAGCATTCAGTCTATAACATACTGTTATTACACTTAACAAAATTGGGCCGGGGATTTAGCTCAGTGGTTCCGCCACCTGCCTTGCAAGCTCAAGGACCTGAGTTCAGTCCCCTGTACCAAAAAAAGAAAAATCAGTTTCCTCCAGTCTCCTTGCATTTGTACATACACTTAACAAAATAAACAGTGATTTCATAATAACATCTGTAACCCAGTTGGTTTTAATCCATCCTCCCTTTTTTTTTTTTTTTTTTTTTTTGCCAGTATCAGGGATTGAACTCAGGACCTTGTGCTTTTCAGGCAGGCGCGGCGTCACTGAGCTAAATCCCCAGCCCCAAACACTTTTTTAAAAAAAGATAAAAATATGAATTAAACTGGGTGCAACATTGCCTGCCTATAATCTCTGTTACACAGGAGGCTAAAACAAGAGGATCACAAGTTTGAGGCCAGCTGAGGCAATTTAATGAGAGACCCTGTTTCAAAATAAATATAAATAAAAAGGATATAACTCAGCACTTTCTGGGTTCAATCCCCAGTACCACCAAAAATAATTACATAATGTGAGATAAAGCCCTTTACTTAGTGCATGTGCTAAAGCACTTATTTTAATCCTTTTGCATATATTATAAAATATGCAAGTACAGTAACCCATATTTATTTCTTATCAATATGGATTTGTTCTAACAAAATGAAAACATGTTTATTCTAGAAAAGGTTTAAAATAATACAGTAAAAATATTAGTAAATACCATCAAAAGTTATCTAAGTAGTGCCTTTATTGCTCATGTGCTAGGAACCCCCTGATTTAGAAGAGGGCCTTGTGGGCAGTAAAAGAGGAAAGATCCCATAGGGAAGGATGTAAAATGCAGTATTTACCTTCAAAGCTAGAGTGAAGTAATTGCCAGAGGTAAAGTAATATTTGGGGGGGGCACTGTGCCCAGAATATTACCATCTCAAGTAAGTGGCTCTATACAAAGCTGATCAGAAAAGGTAGAGTTGATAATATAGGTGTTTGGTAGACATGGCATTTCATTTCACTGGCTCTGTAAAATGGAATCACAGTGAGAACCAGAAGGAGCCTTAAAGATCATATCGTAATTTTCATTACTTCAGTGAGAAACCTGAAGTACAGATGAGCTATTACTAAAGATAACTCAGATAGGTGGGAGTAGAATTCAGATTTTCTGACTCTGGTCCAATGTTCAATATTTTGGAAGGTTTAGGTTTTTGAAAATTGTGGTAAAATACACACACAAACTTTAACATCATAGGGCTGGAGTTAAAACTCAGTGATAGAGCACTTACCTAGCAGAAGGCCATTTTACCATTGTTAAGTGTACAGTTCACTAATATTATGTACATTCACACTATTATGTGACCAACCTTTAGAACTTTTTTTTTTTTGGCTTGATGCTGGGGATTGAACACAGTACCAGTAGGCAACATCCCCAGCCCAAGCCTATAGCTTTTATTGCACCCAGAAGGTTGCTTATTTTTATTAGTGTGTTTTTGTGACATGTAATAGTTATATTCACTTTAGAGAATTGGTACATACAGATGTCATTTCTTGATCATTTTTATTCCTTGTATTTCCCCCTCCTTACCCTTCTCTCACCATTTCCCTGATCCCCTTTCCTCTCTTCCCTTTCCTCCCTGTCTCCTACCACCTCTCTTTTATTTAACTCTGTTTGAGTTTCTCATATAAGAGAAACTATGCAATATTTAACTTTCTATGCATGACTGATTTTTTTTTTTTTTTTGGTATCGGGGATCGAACTCGGGACTTTGCCCTTGTGAGGCAGGCAGCAGAACCACTGAGCCAAATCCCCAGCCCTGTGTGTGACTTATTTCACTTAATATTATGGTCTCCAGATTCATCCATTTTCCTGCAGATAACATTATTTCATTCTTCTTATGACTGAATAGAATTCCACTGTGTGTTTATACTGCATTTTTCTTTACCTATTCATATGTTAATGGACATCTAGGCTGTTTGAAGAACTTGACTGTTGTGAATTGCAGTGCTATAAACATAGGAATGCATGTGTCACTGTAGTATGATGTTTTTAACTCTTTGGGGAACACACCCAGGGGAGGTATAGCTGGGTCATATGGAATTTCTATTGTTAGTTTTTGAGTAATCTCCATACTGATTTCCATAGCCCAAGAAGGTTGCTTTTTTAAGAAGAAAGGAATTATATAATCCTGTCTTCCACCCTCTAGCCAGAGAAATGTCTCTAAAGCACAAGTGTGATCATATGTCTCTCCAACTCCCAGGGTCCTCAAGATCAAGTCCAAACTCCTTTACATGGCTTGTCAAATCTTCCATGATCAGGCACTAGCTGTCCTTTTGTAACCTTATTTCATGCTGTTTTCCCTTCAAGTTCAGTGCCCAGACTTTACCTGTACACTTAGCACATATTCTGTCTTTCTCTCTTGGAGTTTGCTTCTGCCATTTCTGCCCAGAAATCTCTTCTCCCATTATCTCTGGCCTCCAACACCTTCTTCCTATCTTTGTTAACTTCTACTTGTCCTTTAGGACCCAGGTTAGGCTATTTTTTTAGGCTTGCCTGCATGCATGCACACACAATCACACCCTTCCTGTGCTCTTCATAACACATTGTAATTGCCTTTGTCATCATAGCATATTATAATTTCCTGTTTACTTGTGTTCCTAATTTGTCTAGGAACTCTTTTTCTTTTTTTTTGGTCTAGGAACTATTGGGGGCCTGAAGTCTATATATTTGTTAGTTGTATCCTTAGTGCCTAGAACCTAGTTAAAGTGTTTAGTATTTGTTGAATATAATTAAACTGTTATTTCCCAAACATATTTTCAGAATAGTGTTCCCCAGGACATTAAAAGAGATGCCATGAAAAAGGAGCTCCATAGTTAAATAGGAAAATGCATTCTGTATTTTTAAGACAAGCCATACACTACACTGTACTGCACTGTACTTGATGGCAGTGGTTCCCAAATGCCAGTGTGCTTGACCGCAGAAATTTTAGATTTAGTGAATAAGGTCCTAGAAATCTGCTGTTAAAAAAATTCCTCAGAGCTGGGCATGGTGGTGCATGCCTGTAATCCCAGAACTCCGTTGGCTGAGGCAGGAGGATCATTACAAGTTCAAGGGCGACCTGGGCTACATAGTGAGTTCAAGGCCAGCCTGAACTGCACAGCAAAACATGTCTCCAAAAAATGCCTTGGGGCTGGAAATGTGGTTCAGTGGTAGAACACTTGCCTAGCATGTGTGAGGCCCTCCACCACCACAAAAAAAAACCAAAAAACAATAAAACCCCACCATAAGTAATTCTTGTTTTAGGCCAGATTTGGAAAGCATTAGTATGCAGTGGTTTACAAAGATAGTTAAAGTATGTAATGCATTTGGAGTAATGCCTAGCACATAGTATTTATGCTCTGTTATTGTTGACTGCTGCTTCTGCTTCAACAAAACACTTTTTTTGGTACCGGGGATCGAACTCGGGACCTTGCACTTGGGAGGCAGGCGCCAGAACCACTGAGATAAATCTCTGGCCCTGGAAGGTTTTATTTTTAATTACTGCTTCAGTTTCACTCCCTGTTATTTTTATGGTGTGTTTGTTAGCATTTCACAAAACCTGTTTTGGGAAAGGCTAAATTAACCAGTACTACAGTGTCACCTATCTGTTGATGACACTCAAATCTGTTATCTCTAGATAGAGACTTCTGACCTCAAAATTTGACTCTCCATTTGCTTACTGGATATTTTGGGGGGATGCCCAGCAAACACCTCAAAAAATACCTGAAAAAAAATCCCAAACCTGTACCTCCTTCTATATTTCCCATTGTTATCACCATCTCCTTGTCAGCCAACTAGCGATCTTGAAGTCAACTTTAGTTCTTCTTTCTTCCTCACCTCTCAAATCCAAATGCCGAATCCTCCTTGTCACACTGCAGTCCATCTCTTTCTAGAATGAGATGTGTCCTTTCCATATGCTTCTTTTACCTAACCCTTGCTTTTCTGCTGACAAATTGTTACCCATGCTTAAATGTCACTTCGTGCTTCTCCTCCATGAAGCTTTCCCCAGCTAGCCTGAAGAGACGAACTTGTTCATCTTGTCCCAGAGCACTTTGTATGCACCTTTATTATAGCACTTATCACTCTGTACTTTATGCTTACCTCTATGGCCTGCTCTCACATCCTCTCCCACAAGCTATTTAAGAACATATTCCATGTGTGAGTCATACTCATATCTCTCAGCACTTGAGTGTCTGGCGCACAGTAGGGGTTCGATAAATGTTTCAAACAATTTTTTTCAGAGAATTTAAACAACTAAGAACATCTAGGGCCGGGTATGTAGCTCACCGGCACAGCCACGCCTGCCTGGCAAGCGCAAGGTCCTGAGTTCAATCCCCAGTACCAAAAGAAAAAAAAATAGAACATCTAAACCTAGTATATTTCTTTTCTCCTTCTGCAGAGATTAGTACTGAGGAGCAGCTAAGGCGCCTACAAGAGGAGAAGCTTTGCAAAATCTGTATGGATAGAAATATTGCTGTAGTTTTTATTCCTTGTGGACATCTGGTCACTTGTAAACAGTGTGCCGAAGCCGTTGACAAATGTCCCATGTGCTACACAGTCATTACTTTCAAGCAAAAAATTTTTATGTCTTAATCTCACTCCATAGTAAGCATGTTATGTTCTTATTATCCTGATTGAATGTGTGATGTAAAGAAACTTTAAGTAATCAGCATTGAATTCCATTAGCATTTGCTACCAAGCAGAAAAAAATGTAAATAGCAGTGTTGTAGTTGGCAATCTAGCCTGGAATTTCTGGGTTTTTCAAGTTATTAACTGCTATATCCAATTTTTTCATTGTTATTCAATTGAAACTAGACTAAAAAGGATCATAATGTAACTGCTCGTACTGTGGATTTGTAGTACGCTGACTTAGTTTCTAAAGTGTAAGTGAATTAATCATCTGAATGTTTTATTTTTTGATAGGCTTAACAAATGGAGCATTCTGCATAAACATGGAGATTATAGTTAAATCTCTACAGTCACATAATTTGTTTTGTGTGAAGAAGGAATGAACTGTTCCACACTGGTGGAAAGATAGGGATATTTTTAGATATTTGTCTTTGTGTCTTAGGATTCTGTCCATTTTCTTTTAAAATTGCAAACATACATGTGTGAATGATTTTAAAATGATTTTGCCATTTTTAAAATGGTTTTTAATGATAGAATACCATCTAGCCAACATGTACTGACATTGATGTCAAAGATATATTAAATGTAAAATGCAAGTGGCAGAACACTGTGTATAATATGAGGTAAAATCAAGGTGTATGTATTTTGTATCTATAATAGAGTGAAAGATTTGGAAAGATACATCACATGAAATTGTTAACTGTGGTTTTTCTTGAGGGGTTGGGGTTTGGTCCCAGAGGGATTTTCTGGGGCCCTTCACTGTCTAATTTTTTTCATTTTGTTCAGTTTGAAATTTTTGTAAGTATGTATCACTTCTGTAATCAGAATTTTTTTAGAAAGTATTTTACTGATTTAAAGGCTTAGGCATGTTCAAACGCCTGCAAAACTACTTATTGCTCAGCTTTAGCTTCTCTAATCCAAAAAGGCAGGGCAATTAACCTTTTTGGTGCCAATATAAAATTTAAATGTTTGTATGTTTTGCCTGCTTTGTGGATGAAAAAATATTTCTGAGTGGTAGTTTTCTGTTAGGTAGACCATGTCTTATTTTGTTTCAAAATAAATATTTCTGATTTTGTAAAATGAAATATAAAATATGTCTCAGATCTTCCAATTAATTAGTAAGGATTCATCCTTAATCCTTGCTAGATTAAGCCTGCCTAAGTCACTTTACTAAAAGATCTTTATTAACCCAGTATTTTAAACATCTTTCAGCTTATGTAGGTAAAAGTAGAAGCATGTCTGACCCTCCTTATAGTTATAGTGATGGCTTTCCATGTTGAGACTCTCATGGCATCTTGTATCTTAAAGTTCATGTGAGTTTTTACTGTTAGGGTGATTAACATGTATATTGGACAAAATGTTAAGTCTTTTCCTCTACCTGCATTTTTTGTTGTTGTTTTCTTGACTAGTAATAGTAGTAGAAACCTTTAAAAATGTTCTCTCAAGATCCTTAAAAACCTCTTGGAAATGATAAAATAGTAACAGAAGAATAGTTGTTTTAAATATTTTTTAAGAACTTGAATATGCGTCAATATGAAAGTTTAACAGTGCTTCATAGAATATCTGGAATTTACATTCTCGAGGTAGACTTATGTAACAGCAAATAGGGCATTTTACTGCAGAGAACTGTTTGAGAGTGAAACTGTTAAAAATTATATTTTTATTATATTTTCTAAGACAAAGTATTGTTATATTCTCCTAACCTCTGTTAATTTCTGTTAAGTGATACTTGTATAAAGCATTGCAAATTTAAATGAGATTTGCAAAAATTAAATAATCATTGCCCTATTTTTGTTTTATTATGTAAATCCTGAGTTCCCCTTTGCTCTATCTTCCACCTAGGTTTGCTTATATATTCATTAAGTTGAATTTGATCTATATGGGCAAAGCTTTAAATTTATATTTAAAGCGTTC